CTCAATCGGTTAAGCATCCGACTTCAGCTCAGGTCATGACCTCGCTGTTCCCAAGTTTCAGCCCCACATGAGGCTCTGTGCTGAGATCTCAGAGCCTGGAGCCTGCTTCAGATTCTGTGTCTCCCTCTCTCTCTGACCCTCCCCTGCTCGCGCTGTCTCTCTCTCTCCTAGAAATAAAAAAAACATTTAAAAAAAAAAAAAAAAGAATCGTATGTTCCACCAACTGAACCAGCCAGCATCCCTCCCTCCAAATAAAATTTTAAAGGACCAGGATTCACTGGGCATAAAGTTGTTTAACGTTCCATTAAAACCCATCTTGTTGATTTATAATCACAATTTATAAAAGAAAATTGGCATCACTCACTCACTCAATCAATCAATCATCCCTTCCCCTCCTGCAAAGCAAACCATTTACCCCTGGCCCTCTTCTCTTCTAATTCCATTTGCTCTCCATGAGCAATTACATCTACTCTTAGGGCTTCAATTAGCACTTACTGGCTAACTGAAATCTCACCAATCTCAGCCTCCCTCCTGGGCTCTGGATCCTCCCAACTCTACCAGATGGGAGGTAGATGGGCTCCTACCACCCCACTGACACCTCTGCCTGAGACAGACTTCAAACTCAACGTGTTCGAAACTGAAACAATGATCTTCCTCTCACGTTAAAAAAATAATAATAGGACAAGTTCCTCTGGCCACAGTTTCCCACACTAAGAAACTAAGTCATTTATTTTTCTGTTCACCTTCCAAGCCAATCACTTTTCAGGCCCCTGTAAATTCTACATCTTCATCATGTCCTCTCTTCTCCACTATTACAACTTCCCCACTCCAGGCCCTTAGCCTCTCTTATCTGGGCTATTTCAATTGCACTGGCCTTCTAACTTACCTCACTACCTTCTGCCTCTCCCCATCCCATCCAGCCTCCACACCGTACCGCCATATTGTCTCTCTTAATTACCTACCATCCTTCACTGGCCCTCCACTGTCTTCAGAATCAAGTCTAAAGTCCCTGGCATGACACACAAACTCTTCACTGCGGGGCACCAGCAGACTTCTGTTTTCTCTTTCTGAGTCCTACGTTTTTATTTAGCTATTTCTGTATGTTATTTTAGGACACTTCTTGTATTTCAAAATATTAAAACTACTTTTAGCACTATATTCTATAAGTGAAAGACTTTGCCACACTGGACAAATCTTCATTATTCCAAATGAGAGGCCCTGGAACCCCACACTAACCTCATTTCTAGCAATTTCTGTGATCTTAACGCAGTCATAATCAAACTCCGCAATTTTCCTTTTCCAGCTTGTTTCCAAGCACCATCTGCTAACCCTCATAACCATACACTCTCATCTTGAGGTGATAAGCTACAACACATTCCTCATACCTACCATATACTTTCACATAATATTCTTGTTTTCATCCGTATCTTCTAATCCCTTCCCCAGCTCAGTTAACTTCTATTCATCCTGCAAAGCCAAATTCAAACCTGGTATCTTCTCTCTAATCTTCCTCCCTATCATACATAGAATTATTTTCCCTCATCACTATTCCCACTAAATCCTATCTATCTCAATCTCTGTTATAACTCTTATCACACTGATGTAGGGACTTATTTACATGTCCGCTTATAAGCTTTTTGGAAAAAATTATTTTTTATTTTAGAGAGAGAAAGAGAGTGCGAGCAGGGGAGAGGGCAGAGGGGGAGAGAGAGAATCTTAAGCAGGCTCCACATTCAGTGCAGAGCCCGACTTGGGGCTCAGTCCCAAGATCCTGGGATCATGATCTGAGCCAAAATCAAGAGTCAGGCATTTAACCGACTGAGCCACCCAGGCGTCCCTGGTTATAAGCTTTTTGAAGGCAGCAAAGCATTTTCTTTTCTTGAATCTAACATTTCACTTTTGGTCTAAGAACAGATATTTTAAACTTCTTATTGAAAAATAATCACCTTTTCCTTGGGGCGTCTGGGTGGTTCAGTCAGTTGAGCATCCAACTCTGGCTCAGGTCATGATCTCGTGGTTCATGGGTTCGAGCCCTGCGTTGGGCTCTGTGCTGACAGCTCAGAGCCTGGAGCCTGCATCAGATTCTGTGTCTCCCTCTCTCTCTGCTCTCCCCCACTTGTGCTCAGTCTCTCTCTCTTTCTCAAAATTAAATAAACATTTAAAAAGGGGGAAAAATCACCTTTTCTATTATTACGGTAATACCATCATTGTAGTCACTGAGTGACTGAGAGATTAGAAACAAAAAGAAATCCCAGGTTGTTCACCAGGAGGAAAAAATGATCTTATATACAAAGTATAATTAAATTGTAGCTTGGACAAGCTTTCATCTACATCTGGCAATACCAGTTTCTTTCTCTCTCTGCTTGGTTTTTTGAAGAAGTTCTTTACAGAACTCTCTTGTAACTACACACTGGGTTTTATTTGTATTTCACTCACAGAATTTGAAAGTTGGAATAATGCAGAGGTTGAGACTGGGGTTTCTGGAGTCTAACTGTCGGGCTTGAATGCTGGCTTTGCTGTTGAGACTGTCTGACAGGGACATTACTCAACCTCGATGTCTTTCTATGAGGAGACCAAAATAATGACAGCCCTCATGGCGCTGTTGTAAGGGTAAAATAAGTAATGTGCATAAAGAATTTAGAACACTGCTCGGCTCAAAGTAGGTCTCAATAAATGCTGACTGATGTTATTGTCAGCTTTAAAAACAGCTTTCTTACTACTTATTTTAGCCCACTTAGTAGAGTGTCATCTCCTAGAAGGAAGGAATTCTATTCTGCTCATACCCAAATATAATGTAAGTGTTAAAACCGTGCCTTGGAATAGAAATGCTCAATAAATACCGTGACTCTAAGGCTTCCAGCCTCCAAGATCAACAAATTATAAATCACAGCAAATTATATAGAGAGTACATATTTAAAACTGATTTTAGGGGCGCCTGTGGGGCTCAGTTGGTTAAGTGTCTGACTTCGGCTACGGTCATGATCTCACAGACTGTGGGTTCGAGCCCCGCATCAGGCTCTCTGCTGACTGCCAGCTCAGAGCCTGGAGCCTGTTTCGGATTCTGTGTCTCCCTCTCTCTCTGACTCTCAACTGCTCACGCTGTCTCTCTCTCTCTCTCAGAAATAAGTAAAACATTAAAAAAATTAAAAAATAAAAATAAAACTGATTTTAAATTATTAAAAAATATTTTTATGTCTTTATTTTGAGAGAGAGAGAGAGAGAGAGAGAGACAGAGTGTGAGCGGGGAAGGGGCAGAGAGAGGGAGACACAGAATCTGAAGCAGGCTCCAGGCTCTGAGCTGTCAGCATAGAGCCCGACGAGGGGCTCAAACCCATGGACTGTGAGATCATGACCTGGGCCGAAGTCAGATGCTTAACGGACTGAGCCACCCAGGTGCCTCAAAACTGATTTTAAAGTATTTTAAAGTAGTTTCAAAACACCTATCTTCCACTGAACTGCTGAAACGTAAAACTTTTAAAGCAACACACAAATTATATTCACTGGGAACCTTCCCTCTACTCCATTTGATTTGCTCTTTGTATCCAGTGGTCTAAAATTTTTGTCTATAAGACATGCTATAGATCATTTAAGATACAATTTCCAGGTTTAGAAAACTGTCTATTGTCACATCAAAAAACAAGAACATTCTTCCTTTATAGCTGCATTTTAAAAAATCTATTGCCACATTCAATTAAAAAAAAAAAAACAATGAAAGGCCAAGAGGTACAATTACTGTATTTCCTGGTTTCTGCCTGGGAAACTACTTCAGCACGCGCCTACAAGTATCCCCAGTAAGTCTGCTGGTAACAAACTGCTGTTCCCTTTTTTATTTCCATTCTCCCCCTAAAACACCTCATACATTGACCAAACCAGGGAAAAGAACGCAAGCAAGTGTCTATAAGAAATGTGGTACATATTAATGGTTTTTGAAGGACTTAAATCTTACAAAAGCAAATCAAAGTCTTGCTTTGGATCAATATTCCCGCCTTACTTTACCAGGTAGCTTAAACTATAACTACTTACCTAAAGCAAAAAAGTAAATTATGTATTCGATTGCTCTCAAACTTCATGGCAAATAATTCAGTAACAAAATGTATAGATGTGCAATTCTAGTAAAATGTAGTAATCAGTTAAAAATGGACCACACTTCGAGCAATGGTGATATTTGTGAAAAAAAGAAAAAAGAGCTTAAACCATTTCCGCAGTAAACAAAGATTTAGGACTTTAACTAAAACACTGGAGGTGAATCACCAGCTTCGGGGTAAAGATTTATACAGTGCCTACTAAGTGCCTGGCCTTTAGTAGTTTCTTTACAGAAGATGCGTGCATCCCGGATTCACAGCTAAGGAAACGGGGACCCAGAAAAACAGTTTTGACTGAGGAATCGCCTCTGTTCCGTGGGTCCTGGCGGGGACTCCAGCCCTTGACTCATCATCTCATCATCCTCTGCTGTACTAGCTTCTCCAAAGTTCTGAGATGCTCCACTGTCCGATTTTAAAATCAAAATGCTACCTGACGTTCAATACTGTGCTCGTCAATTCTGTAAGAATCGACACACACACAAATGTTTAAAAGTCCACGGTCTCAGCCTGTGGACGTTCCAACCGGTCGGCCAATCCCGGCGACAGCCCCGCGTTTCCTCCCGGAGGGCACGCTCTTGCTCCCTTCCAGAGGAGTGCAGGGCGCCCCCGGCCCCCGGTCCCCGGCCCCCGGCCCCGGCCCCCGAGGTGAGCGACGAGGAGACGCCTCCCCGCCAGGCCCCGCCACAGCCGCCGCGGCCCCGCGAGGCCAGTCGTCGCCGGGCTCGGGGTCCGACCCCCGCGCGTCCCTCCGGGCCCGGGAGGCGCCCAGACTCCGGGGCCGGGCCGACACCTCCGCCGGCCCCGGCGCCCGCACTGCCAGCCCCGCCGCCCCGCTTCCGACGCCCAGCGTGCGACACGCACCGCCGCGAGGAGCCGAGACACGGCCTCAGAGCGCGTCCCGGATCGCCCCGCACCTACCTGACCTCGGCCTCCACGTCGCCCCCACGGCCCGCACGCGAGGCTCCCGCCGTCTCCGCGGAGGCGCCAGGTCTCCGCGCGGCACTCGGGGTCTGCTGCGCCCCGCCCCCGCAGGCCCAGCCGCAGGCCCCGCCCCGCCCGGCAAAGCCCGGCTCTTATTGGCTCCTCTTCCCACCCCTCACGCTCCGGCCCGCCCCCGGCACCGCCCGGGAGCGGTCGAGAGGGGAACCGCCCCCGTTCGAGTCCGCCCCGGGGCTAGAACCTTATCCCGGACCTTGGTCGCCAGGACGCCAGCCTGGACCTCTTCGCAGTCCTGTTGGCTCCGCGGTGATGGGCCTAAATTTGCATGAAGGCTGACTCTTCACGGCCACCTAGCTTAATCAAGGAACCCAAATGGCACTTCACTCAAGGAAACCATAAAGTTATCTCTTGCCATTGCAGTCCAGTGCCAACTTAAAACGTAGATGCAAATAACGCTTCGAACACCTGAGGTTTGAGATCCCAGAGCAGGGTGCCTTTGATACTCCCAGTGCCTGAGGTCGGCCCCCACGCCCTGTTGTGACACACATGCCCAAGCGCTACGCCTGCAACACGCTCATACTCAGGTATGTGCGTGGCGCGGTGCCTACTGCGAGCAGCAGCCCAGTTTCACCAAGGCTGCGAGTCAGGATGAGTTGAGCCTGTTTCCCAGGCACTGGCCAACCACCCCACCCCACCTCGTCCCGCCCCATTCCACCCCACCCCACCCCACCGCTCCCCACCGGAGCCTCTTGGGTTTGATGACCAAAATCTTCCCACATCTGTTCACACAGAGGTACCAAAATAGGAGACCGCCAGAAAGAGAGGTGTTCGGTTACACATCACAGATGACTGTCACAAGCCAATTTACCCAAAGCAGTAAAAGCCGCATATCCCACACCGTTGTGAAAGCATGAGCTGTGGACAGTGAAACAGAAATTACCTTCTATAATGGGGCGGGGGGCGGGGCGGGAGGGGGAAGAGAGTAATGACAAGACTTTTTTAAAAATCGTGTCAATGAGGAAAAAAACGTCAATATTGTTTGCAGTAAATTTTAACAGTGATCTTCACGGACTACGCTCCTCAACCCCATCTCCATCCTTCTATTCAGAAAACTTCCCAAACAATAGTCTAAGATGAACTTTTAAGCTAGAATAGCGTTTTAAAATTTGTTTCACAATTCAAATTGATTTCAGAGTTCAAGATTATTTGGCAAAAGGAGGCAGCTTGAATTCCAAATCTGGCATGGTTTCTCTACATGTAATAGATGAATTAACATGTATGTATTCTACCGCCCTCTCATGGGTAATCTCGAGATATAACTAATGGTAGTTAATGCCTTTGAAATCTGAAAATAGAACGTTTAGTTTAGCAATCTGTATTATTTTGATGACTTGGAGGACAAGATAAAAATAAAATCAGGTTCTCTAAGGGACTTCTAAATACTCAGCAAACAGAAGTTCAACTTCAGAAACCAGGGAGAAGATTCTTATACTAGGGCTATTATAAACACGCTGTCAGTATAAACACACAAGTATAAACATGCTTACAGCTACCTGTATAGAATGTGGAAACATGCAGGAATTTGCCTTCCCCCCCCCATTTGAAAAGTCATTACTTTCTGAGATGTTTCACAAAATGTCCTTTTTCACATTTGTATCCACTCATTCTATCATTTCACACTGTGAACAACATGAGAGTCGGAATGAAATCTTATTTTTTACAACTTTGCTGTCTAGATTAGTACCTGATTCTTGAGCAGTTCATCAGTAATTATTTAGTAAGTTAGATGAACCATCAGCCCAGCCACTAGATGGCAACACAGCTGTATGGGTAGAAGTAGTCTAGCGAAATGGAATTCTATCTGGTCTGCAGTATCAGGCAGGTTTCTAAAAAGTTCTTTAAAATGGCGGGGGGGGGGGTCGGGGAGGGCTGACAATGACAGCTGACTATAACTTCATTGACAACTGTATCCTTAAAACTAAGAATCTTTTTATAAGATAAATTCTCCCTAAGTGTAATAGCTCATAGGTATTTTCTATATTGGCCTACACACCAGCTTCCAGTTGTATCCCATCAAAAGGACTTTTCAATGCTCTAAGTGCCTCAAGCAAAGTTCATTCTGTAAACCCAAAGCCTACATTCCCCCAGGGCCCCTGGGTGGCTCAGTGGGTTGGGCATCTGACTTGGGCTCAAGTTCTGATCTCACGGCTTGTTACCGGCATCGGGCTCTGTGCTGACAGCCAGAGCCTGGAGCCTGCTTCAGATTCTGTGACTCCCTCTCTCTCTGATCCTCCCCTTCTCCAAAATGAAGATAATATTATCTACGTTGTAAAGTGAAAAGAATTAAAAGATATAATGTCAGTGGAATGATATCTAGTACAATCACGGGTTTATAGTAAGGATTCAATAACGAGTAACTGTTATTCATATTATACTGTCTAATGAAAATCTCACCCATATTATTATTTGGTTTATTTACTTTATTCTCCTGATTTAAGGCCTTCAGCAATTAAATTAAGTTCATAACACCAAGTTTCATAGCGATAGGCCATACGGATCTGGGCTACATTTGTCTTCCGGATATCATTTCCCATAGGGCCCTCCTCAAGGTAATTGTCGCCCAGGAATCTTGCTTTCTCCTGTAAGAGAAAAGGAAGGGGAATGATTGTTGGTTTTTTTATCCCAATACAGACAGTAATTACATCTTCCACAAAGATTCCTTCCTTATATTACTTACTGACAAAAGGAAAACATAAACCGGTAAGAGCATTTAGCCAGGGCCTCAATACCGCATGGTCTGCTGAGAAGTCAAATGCGTTTTATTTTCCTTGCCCCCCAGGCATAGCCAGAGGGCTGGGAGAATTCTTTCTAATCCCTGTCCATAGTAATTGCCCATGATTTGCAGGATGATTTTTCTACCTGTGTTCCCCCAACCCTCTCTTCAGTACTCAGTTACCAGATCCTACACACAGAAGGGCAGCCAGCCAAGGATAGGTCTACCTCATGAGAAATTCCACATTGCAGAACACTGTTTCTTGCCACTTCACACATATCACAGGTACTCAGTTTGAACACTTGTGCAGCAATGGCGTATTCTTCCATTAGGGGCTCCTTGGGTTATTTATTTAAATGAGGCAAAAAAAGAAACAAAGAAACAAAAGAAGAGAAAAGAAAAGAAAAGAGAGTATATTTAAAAAAAAAAAAAAAACAAGCATCCAGCAGAAAAAGCATATTGAAATACCTTGATTTAACTTTAAAATTCTGGCTGGAAAACATCAGTCCTACCAAAGATGCTTGTATTGCTCAAGATTGCATATGTGTACCTTGGTGAAGTGGAATTGCATCGGGTCATCTGTCGACAGTGAGATCATTAGTCCCTTCTGGAGGAAGTCTAAAAAAGGATTTTTGGCATATTCTAGGAATAAGCTGTTGTTACTTAATGGCGACATGGCGATGGGAATCTGGGCTAAGAAAAACAAGTACTGTAACACAGGGCTCTGAAAAGGAAAAGTGAAAAAAATTATTTAAGGATGTTGAAAAAGGGATACAAATGAGAAATGGTAAAACCGCATGGCCCACCGCAAGGCTTAGCTTTTAACAGAATGACCGTATGTTCCTTAAATCCCTTAGTACAGAAGAATAATCATTTTAAATGTAAATGCTACTTAGAATAAATGTATTTGGGATCATCCATTTTCAGTAGCATTGAGTCAAACCAAATGTTTGAGTTTTAGTTGCCTAAGGTACATGGTCTGTCTCGGGGAAAAGACTTCACCTTAAAACATTTTTTTTTTCCCTACAAGAAAGTTCTGACTCTCACAAGAGATATTTGAAAACATGCTCTAACAAGAAATCTGGCAAAAACTGGTTTAAGGTTAGCTAAGCACCTCTGAATTCTCCCTTGTTAGAGTTCTAAAATAGAAGTCAGAAGACCTGCGTGAACTCATCTCTGCTGCTAACTGGTTAGGTAAGCAGCTCCCTTTACTTGTCTGGCTTCCGTGAAATGAACTGTACTAATTAACCTCAAAAATCTTTTTTCGCTCTAGTTTAATGTGATTCCAGTGTTGATAACGACTTGGGAGAAAATGATAAGGGAAAACATTATTCCTCCAGCTCCGATATAAAAGTTAATATTAGGAAGAGAGTCTCCAACTCACCTTCTTTAAATTCAGGCCATGAGAGATATTATCTGCTGTCATGAATGCGGTCATGAGGTGGGTGAGGGCACCCGCTTCCCCACAGTGAGGTCGGAACAGGAACGTGTTCATGCCTCGTTCCCTAGGGAGAGGCAACTTGCCATAGTAATCACAGGTGGCTGCCTGGGACCCGGCAGCCACTCTGGGCATGCAGTGATTTAAAAGAAAATTTGGTAGGAGAAAGAGGAACCCTCCGAAAGGGAGTGGGGCACCCAAAGGATTCAGTAAAACTGGCAATTCCAGGTCATAATCTTAATTCTTCCTGAACACAGACTTCTGAAAACAGAGGCAGCAGAGGATTTGAGGGTATGGAGGAAAAATCAAGATTCGATTCCCTTCAGTCTCGACAGGAAATTTACCAGTAGCACCATGTTGTCATTTCTGCTACTCGCACTTGAGGGGGGAGATGTCTCCAGAAAACCCCGTTATAATATTCCTCTAGTCTTTACCCAGCTATAACAAGAAGGGTGAAGTGTATGGAGCGTGACAATAAATTGTGTGGTGGTTAGTGTAAACTCCTAAGCTTCCAGAGAAAGGAACTGTGAAAGTTACTTGAAGGCTCCAAAATATCCATTCCTGCCACTAAATAAAGAAAGAACCCGCAGAAAAAGACAAGGGAAAGAAATTTCTGATTTGGGCCAGTTGGAAGGATCCTCGCAGTGCAGTGGCCCTCAGCCACCCAAGGCACCGATGTTGAGCAGAAGAGGTGTTTGAAATAGAAGCATCTCCTTCTAGCTCCAGCTCCTTCTACTTACTTTCTCAGGCTGTTGAGCACCGTGATGTTCGCGTACATGTAGTAGGCATAGTAAGTGTAAGATGGGTTCTTTTCCACCGTCCACTCCTGGGGCTTG